TATACTACTTGAGCTATGAACTATCAGCCCACTCGAATTCACCGTCACAGAAAGTGTTTCGTCTAGCGAGGCTCTGCGAGGCTCTGTTCCGTCCATTTCAAAGCATTAGGGACCTTAAGATAGGACGACGGGACGAGCTAGGACGGCTACCAGAGGTAAATTTACACAACTGGGCATGCGCACGAGAATTCATGCCTCGCGTGTTAAACGTTTGCCGTCGTTGTCTCGTCGAGGACGCCATTTTGGGAGTTTTGCCGTCGTGTCGAGAACGTGAGTATTTCATCTTCTTCTGACTTGTAAAACATTGTACTCGATTCCAGTTTCATACATATCGATGGGAATGCTTATCAACATGATATTTTTCGTGTTTGTAATATAAATGAATTCAAATAGGAATAAATATTTATAAGTGTATTGACCGTGTATTTGTTTGTTTTCGGTCGCCATCATGGATGCTCCCATGAAAAACACAGCGAAAAAAAGTAAATCGATGTAAGTAAAGTTGAGAAATTCTGATAGGAATATAGTGTTTAAATCAAGTATAGAGAGCAAACTAAAGGGCAATTCGATTTTTAAGTAAAAATCTATAGACTGTAAGTTTGATAGTTGTTTACCTTTCGTCGAGTATCAGTCGGGATTCACATAAATTAAGGTTACTTTTTATTCAAGGATTGATTTGATTATAATCTTTAGAAAGCCTTTGGTATAGAGTACTGTTCATGACGAGATGTTATGCCGAGAAATATTGGTTGGAGATCCATTTCCTGGGACTAAATATGGCACGGTGGCAAAAGGAACTAAGTGGGAAGAGGTCGCCGAAAACTTAAACAAAATTCAGCAAGTATTCTTTAAAGTTGACAAGGGGGCAGTCCGAGATCGTTACAACCTACTTTCAAAAGAGTTGAGAAATAATTTGAAAAGGGAAGAAATAGAAAGTAGAATCAAAGCTGATATGACAGAAGTTGAAATGGCAGTACAGGAACTGACTGAGAAAGAAGATGCAGCGGTTACCGGGCAGAGAGTTGTTGAGAACCAGAAGAAAGTCAAGGACAGTCAAGACAGGGAAAATGCCGAGAGTGTTCGAAAGAAGGCTATGGAGAGACTTGGACAGACGAGGGTGAAAGCGAAGGAAAAAAGGAGAAGAAAAGATCGAGCGGTAATGGCGCACTCAACTTTCTTAGAGAATAAATGAACAGGTACAGGAAATCCAAAAACAAGAGTTGGAGTTAAAAAGATGACAGCTTGAGGTCGAGTCAGAGAAGGAAGAAAACTTCATGCAGATGATGTTGAATCAGCAGCAACAACAACAAAGGCAAATGCAGGATTTTCAGGCTATGATGAGTATCCAGACAAAACAGAAAAATGATTTCAGTTGATGCTAGCCCTTGTTTCTTAGTTAAAAGAGAATAATTAAAGTATGTAGTCACTGTGATGTCAACGAAAACTGGAAAAAATTGGGCTTAAAAACATTGTTATTAGTAAATCAGGTTTTTGCTGTTCTTGTTTGTGTTTCATGCAGAAAGAAAACAAATCAAATAAGCTTGTTGGTTACTGGCCCAGTTGACAGTAGTCTGAATTTTAATAGTTTAACTTGATGTTGTGTACTTTATGACTGCTCCCACTCAGTGTAGACAAGTAGTTATAATAATCTTTGTTGCACAGTCGTGGTTAAACTTAAAATATACTTTGAAAGAAAATGTTGTGTTTTTCATCTTAAAACATATTTAACTGCACATTTGAAACATCTGTTTAAAGTAATCCTGTGAGAGAAAGACATATAAAAATTGTATTAAAATGATAGATTGTAGTTAACATTTCCTTCTCTCTTTTTACACTTTGAAGTCATGTTATTAAAGACTCTTTTTGATTTTAGCCAAAAAACATTGAACTGATTAGTAAAAAATGGGCACCAAGTGGAATCCTAAACAAAACACTCTTCAAGGGTTGGGGGCTCCAGATTAAAATGTTCTGAAGTTTGATTTCCATTAAAGCAAGTATGGGCATTGCGAAGGAGAGCACTGACAATATACATTTTCTCCACAGAGCTTAGACCAATTTTTAAACTCTTATGGAAATCCATAAATTTAAAATAATTGACAATGTCCCCAAAAAGCCATTCCAGTGATTCACGCACAGCACTCATGGATGAATTGAAGGCTTGCATATCAGGAGTTAGAACTGCGTTCCTGAAAGGAGTTTGCAAGTGGACACGAAGAAGGTATGCTGGGTCTCCATAGGGGCACATGGGTTGACCAGTGGAAGAAAATGCAAAACGCTGTAGATCGTTAAGCAGTCCGGAATCTGCCAACATACCGACATCGTGTTTTCTTCCTTCTGTAATAAAATTAAAAAAAAAACGGGGAGTCAACACCCAAAATTACAAACGTAAAGGGTTTTCAACAATTTTTTTTTTGGGGGGGGTGGTCTATTATAAACCATAGACTTACCTAAAGGCCCGTACATATTTGCAATCATGCCATTTGGCAAGGTAAATGATTGGAATTTTGGTGCGTGTACCCGCTTGTGACCATTGTATACGACCCTTAGGAATTCCACAGGACGACAGATTGGTCTTACGGTCCCACCTATGAAGCCCATGCAGTTGTCCAGAGCTGCACCTTTGTCATAGACTGCTTCACCATACCTCTCTAGACTAACAGGATCTAGAATTGTGTGCGGTTCCACTGGCTTATTCTGTGGCCGTGTGCCTTGTAAATGTAATCCAAAACGACCTTGTATATCATGCTCAGCTCTGGTACTGGTCGCCCGAAACGTGGGATCAAATCGGAGTAGCGACACGAGTAAGTCAGTCGTCTTAACACCAAAGATAGTCCTTCTATTCCGGGAGCTGTTCAGCCTTGTTGCCAAAAAAATGTTTCGGGAATATCCAGTGCTTCAGCTAGTCTTGGAATTTCATTTTTATTGAATCGAAATTCAGCTTTGCATTCCGTATCGTCCATCGCATCCAAGTCGAATCTTTCGTAGTCTTCATATGGAAATTCTGGATTCTTCAAGAAGTTTCCTTCATACAGTAAAATAAATTCATCGTCATCGATAATGCCATTATTACACTTTTCCAGGAGAAGATTCGTAGCATCTTTAAACAATGTCATTGCTGTTATAAAGCGAAAAATATCGGCGTCGCCGTCTTACTCAAAAATAGACAATCTTAAGTATTTTTTTTTTGGTGGCAGTCCCAGTCTTACTCTTACAGTGCCGTCCCCGTCGTAGCTCCCCGTCCTGGTATATTAAGGCCCCTATCATGTGAGTGGGACGGATTAAATGGTGCAGTGATTTCTGGTTATTCGGGTTTAGAAGAGAAAAGAGGAAATAACCTCAGGGTATCCTATTTTTGCGAACAAGACTCCGAGAGAATTAACGTGTCTTTCAACTTTCCACCAAGAATAACCTTTTTTCCAATTTGAATGGAAAGCATCTTTTTCTCATCCTAAATTATGTTTGTCCTAAGTCTTACAGGAGTGTCGACAGCAAAGCCAACGGCAGCCGAATTCACCCTTCTGTTGCATCAAAGCCGGGACAGACAACAATACCCAAAGCAAATCCACCAGAGTGACTCAAGCTGAACTGTTCTTTCTTGTAGTTTTCCTTGTGTGCATCTTGTTTTACAAAGCAAACACAAGGGTAACTCAGATTGATCTGGCCGCTGTCCGAGTAAGTCTCGAGCTTGCACGCAGCTTGTGCCCCAGGATCCAGCCTGGTGAATCGTGTATTGAGTGAACCATTATGTAAGTTAGCATGCTTTACCATTTTTCTCTACCTGGCTTTATAAAAAGGGCCCTTGGTTAAGGAAAATTATTCTATTAGTATCATTATGTCAAGCCCTCTTACCATTTACTTAGTATTTTGTGTCGTTATTGGTATTTTGAATAGCCCTGCGGGATCGTCCAATTTCAGCAACTTTCGTAAAAACGCCCGATGCTACTACACACCGAATCGTCCAAAACTTTATATACCTTCGCCTATTCTGTTTCTTGTGGTCGTCAACAGTCCTCCAGCGAATGCCGCTGCAGACGTGTGCCGAGAGACCAGCGAGGGAACACTGGGTTAGAACGACAGCCAAGCCTACGAGGACTAAGCACCCCGGTCAGAACATATTTTCTGCGTTTTCTTGCCCTGATAATGTAAAATGGTCTGTAAAAGTGGAGTGATAAATATTTTATAGATATATTTATTTCAGGGAGCGAATAGGCGAGAAGGACAGAATGAGCTACCGTTACCCCAAGGACTTATGAGCAAATGAAGCTCATCTACTTCCAACTGGGAACTTTCTAAAGAACGCAAAAAGACTTTAGTCTTTCACCAGCTTAGCTAACTCAAAGAGTCTATTGAAGAATCTGACATCACACAGCATATCAGGATGTCAGGTCAAAAAGAAAACAGTCCTCTCGCTTGACATGACGAGCGATTCAAGCAGTGTATAACCTTTTACCGAGAACTTATCACTCTTCAGTTTGCTGAAAACATTTTGTCATTATTATTGTGACTGCACGTGGTACAGAGGAATCATTTCATCTGTTAGAAAATCCATTTATAAATACATTAGCTTTCAATTGAAGACACAAGAGACTCAGGAAAGACTCCTTAAAAAACCTATTGGAGAAAAGTTCAATCTGGCGGACGTTTCTAGAGGTCATGTACTTTCACCTTTGAGTTTTTGAACTTTCAGCGTTCTACAGAGTACACTGGAGCGAAATTATATCTACAATCAATACATTTACCAATGTTCTCCGAGGCCAACTATAGTTGACTACCATGCGGTTTACAGTCCTTTTCAACATAAGATGTCTCTGATAACAATAATTACACGTTTTTGAAGGATGTAGAAGCTCAAGATGGTACCTCCCTTCACACGTTTTTCTCAAATCTAACATTTAGTCTTCATCTTTCCACATAGATAATTAGGACTTTTAAACGTCCGCTACTTTTAAAACTTATCAGGACATTGCAGCACCATTATCCAATGTTAGAGACTTCAAGGCCCATCCAGGATTCCAAACCCTCTCGGTGTACCAGGGAGCTTTGTGAGATCAATAGCATCCAACACCACTGCCCCTACGGTCCGCCTGGTAAACAGGGTTTTAAAGGAAATAAAGGGGTTGACGGAATCCGTGGATTGCCGGGCCCTCCTGCGCCGCGAGAAAACAGAAGCCCAAGAGGAAACAAGGGCAACGAGGGCCCCTCTGGAAAAAAAAAAAAAAATGAAACATCGGGCCCTCAGGGGAACTTCTCTGATCTGGAATGCGTCGCCAATTGGGTGAACAGAAGTGAGTGGTTTGATATATACCGCGAGGTCCATTGTGATAGGAGAAAATTCTTACAAGGCTTCAGTCTGTAAGAAAGCGATGCTCGCGGGCAGAGGAGATACGAATACACTTGTTGTACAATCAGACTGACCAATGGTCCTTCAAAAACTCAGCGAATGAACTTTTTGAAAACCTGAATAAAGAGCCAAAACGCAATGACTCGTCTCTCAATAAAATGGACGGAAATTTTGATTTATGACTGAAGAAACTTAAGGTAAGAAAAACGGACTTTTTATACGTTGAAAAGAAGATACGTTGTTAACCACCGGAAAGATAACTTTTCTAGACTGTCCCTGCGCATGTAAAAAACACTCATTAACAGATGTAAAGTGTAATCAGAAGGTATAGATTATTGCTCCTGGCGTAGGCATTGTTCCTCGGCTTCTCTGTCACGACATTTTATTTAATCTGCCCTTACTACATTAAAAGAACTACACAGAAAAGAATAGAGTAGCTTGTGCTGCATGCGTGCTTTAGTGTTAGGAAAAAATTCACCCTGAGGTTACCAAGTTCTGGACCATTCAACATAGTCCCAAACTTTCTGTCGTACAACGGGTTTTCATCAAAAATGAAAGATTTCTATAATGTAAAATAGTATTTTAAAGTGTAGTACGATCCTCCGGGTGATTGTAGTCCTGAGAAGGAATGTTGTCGGTGGTGACTGACGTTTCGATAACCAGTGCGGATGCCATTGTCGGAGTCAAATGAGTAGTTGTTGTCAATAGAGTGTTGGCAGAGCAGTTTGTGTACAATGATTGGTCAGTTTTGCCGTAATGTTATGGGCTGTAACACTCAAGTGGCGTAAGTTGGTCGTGAATGGTCTATTTCAATTCGTGGGTAAAGTTAGGTCGTTCTGTACGGATCTTCTGTAATGTTAATGTCTGAATGAGGCGTTTGCATGGTGCCGGTAGTAGTTGACACCTGTTGAAAGGAGTCTGTTAGTAGACCAGCTTTCCAGAGTCAGTCGTTGAAAGTAGTTGTTGAAATATCAGTCATCCCCACCGACAACAGTCCGTTTCAGGACTACTTTCGCCCGGACGATCGCACTACACTTTCACATGTTGTCCTTGGGTTCAAACCATATACTATAAAATAATATTGTTTTGGGATCATTTAGATTATCGTTCGATACGATAGCGCGTCAAAAACGATCTCAATAAATGTTTTGTTCCTCTGCGGCGACTATGTTATGCTCCTTTTACTGTAACTTAGAAAAGTATGAAGGATTTGCGTATCTTTCAGGCCTTGAACTTAACTTGTTTTTCGCAGTACCTGCGCACGCTCAAGTTCATACCCTAAAATTCTCTGGGTGTATTTTAAAGAAGACTTGGTATTTACAAAGTTAACCTTTTCTCCGTTATATGGTTTTAAACAATTCACGACGTCTTCAATGACTCAAACGAGAGAAGGAGAAAATTACAAGCTGTTCCAAGCTCGTAACGAGTGAGAGACAAGGAAAGTATTTGAGTTCCCCTCAAAGTATCCCTCCACTATCGCAGCAGGTGCTGTTAACAATGATGAATTCGTAACAGCATCCCTCTAGAAAGTGACAGAGCTTGACCTTCGAATCTTTCATTGTTTGAGATTTTCTCCTCACAAGGTGTTGCCGAGCAGAGGTCCATCATCAGATCCATAACAAAAACCTGTGAGTGAGTTTGAATTTCCACAGGATAAAAAAGTAACTCAAAGAGATTACAAGAACTTTCCGAGTCGATCACTCTACCTAACTCGCTACGAAAACTTACCCTAAAGAGGGGCCTTGGTGAAAGAAAAATACAACTCAATCAATTGACCTAGTATACTGAAAGATGTATTGTAAAAACTAAAAAATACATAGGCAAAACACTACAAACTTTTAAAGTTCACTTTGTCAAGGAACTACTTGGGCGCTGTAAATAGCAAGAAGGAAATTTACAATCACAAAATGAATGAAACTTTTTAATGAAAATGAAATAGTTGTAAGACTCTGATTGAAAAAACTACCTACACGACCTACTAGCGAGATAAGCTGCTTCGCTCTACAAATATCCCTAACTAAATCTTGAGCAAAATTCAATCGGAAGTCAAACGTACAATCTACCATAGTTCACATACAATTTGGCAACACACTGTGGTGCAGTTTGTACTATGCATTAAGAAAATAAAGTTTTTGACTGAGGAATTTCGCCTTAAAGGCCTAACCAAGCAATTCGTTTTGTCACTGACAGCCGAGCTATACTGCTAAAGACATTCAGGAAGTTCTCGTCGCCGGAGAAGTTGGATACAAATAGTTGTCAAAAAGCCATCAGCAAGGATCTCCTCTTCTCTACAAACAGGTAACACAGATCAAAAATGTCAATTCTAAATATCCATTTTGACATAGGTTTAAATGCATTCCTAAAGCATTAAATTTTTTTACCCACCAATATTTGTAGAACTATCAGAAATCCATGTGGTCAGCGCCGAACAAGCCAATTGTCCACTAACTCATTTTGAGATTCATATGGTGTCATTCTGTTCTGATTAAAGCCTTCCATTATACTTGGATATCATTTTGGAGCTCATTTCAAATTACACGTTGGGACTCCGTGACTAAAATGATATCATCTTCGAAAACTTAAGAGCCATTTCAGTTTCCTGCCCTCTCACTAAAATTAATTAGCATAAAGATATACCTTGGCGAGATTACCTGCCTTCGTGCAAACGTGCTCTGGGCTTACTTCAAAGTATATCATCAATTAATATTGGCCTACTTACATTTGACAATATTCAAGAATCTTATCTTTAATTTAATTCCCATCTAACGTCATCCCCAATGAGTACAAAAGGTGCCCAGTATTTCACATGGCTAAATTGTTTAGACTCTTTCATGCTCTTCACAGCGTGGTCAAGAGCTTCACTGGCCAGCCTCCCACGAACCAGTTCTTCATAGAAATACTTCATAAACTCAAGAGTTGCCTCGTCATCTATCGCCCACAACGACACAAGAACAGAGCGAGCACCGGCACCCAAAAACGCTCTTGCAATTCCAACCACTCCCTCGGCCTTAATCTCTCCACGAGCACTGTGACAACAACTTAACACAACCAGCCTTGCTCGTATGTGAGTATCCAACACATCTTTCATTGTTAGAATAATATCCTCCTTAACAAAGGGCTGTGATGAGCAGACACTTCGTGGGGCTAAAGCAATTTCTCCTGTTTCCATTCGGCCGTGTGCTGCAAAGTGCACCAACCCAACAGAAGGAAGTCGTCTCAATACCTCATCTTTTTTTGCTTCTTCACCGATTAGAGGATCAGCGCCAAGGATTTTCCCGATCATGGCTACTTCTTCTCTGGCAAATGGCAGTGGATCGAGCCCCAGCTCCTTGTAAAGATCCTCCCCCAAACATGGATCACCCACGAGTAAAGCGCCCGTCTTATTGTGGAAGTCATCTGGGTAATCGTTAATCAACTTCAGAGTAGTTAGGGATGGAATCATTCGAACTCGGAAAGACTCACAGAGATAATTTGACTCGGAATCCATCAATGCAGCAAAAGGAACTAACCACAATGAGCTCTCAGGAACAAAGATAAGTTCAATGCCATCTACGAGATCGGCAATCGGCTCAATGATAACGTTATACAGTATCCGAAAAGTTTCATTCGGTGAGCATTCAGGAGAGGTATCAGCATGGACTGACCTTTTCCTCACCAATTCCTCATTGCAGGGCTCATCAAGAGAACGATTTTCGCATTTCAAAACACCTCTTTTAAACTCTCTTGACACTGTGTTTACTAAGCTTCCAATAAAGGTATTGACATCTTTGAAGAAGCCATAATTACTTATCTCAATACTTCTCAATTGAATATCTTGAGAGCTTTTGATAAACCAATAGTAGATTTTGCGTTCCTTATCATCTACCGCCATAAAAACTGTATTTGATACAACACCGCCGACAGAAACCTCAAAATCAGAACTTGTTGGTGTGTGAGGGCGAGGTTGTGTCTCTTCCGACCCATAATTAAAGAAAATAAGGTCATTGAGCGCCTGTGCACGTCCTTGTTCAGCACATAGAAGTGCATCCAAAATTTGATTTTGTTTTAAATGAACACGCCACAAACAAGTATATGCGTTCCTGTTCATGTTGCGGTAGCTAATCTTCCAATCATCTTTGGACCGCATGCTGGCTCGGACACCTTCAAAGATTACCACACAAGAACGGTACAAGTTAACGGCTCTTTCTAGGTCCCCCAAGTTCCAGTAGTCATTTCCGAGATTGTAGTAGGTCATCCCCTCTCCAGCCTTGTTTCCCACTTCTTTGGCAATTTTTAGATAACGTTCATGATAATAGATGGCTCTTTCGAAATCTCCTAGGCTTTGGTAAGCATTACCGAGATTACCGTAACTACTTCCCTCTCTAGCCTTGTCTCCAACTTCTTTAGTAATTTTTAGAACACGTTCGTAATAATGGATGGCTCTTTCGAAATCTCCCAGGCGAAAATAAGCATTACCGAGATTGCCGTAACTATTTCCCTCTCCAACCTTGTCTGCCACTTCTTTGGCAATTTTTAGATGGCGTTCATGATACTGGATGGCTCTTTCGAAGTCTTCTAGGCTTTGATAAGCATTGCCGAGATTGCCGTAACTGATTCCCTCTCCAGCCTTGTCTCCCACCTCTTTGGAAATTTCTAGATCACGTTCATGATAACAGATGGCTCTTTCGAAATCTCCTAGGTTTTGATAAGCATTGCCGAGATTACCGTGACCCTTTCCCTCTCCAGCCCTGTCTCCCACTTCTTTGGCAACTTTTAGTTGACGTTCATGAAACTGGATGGCCCTTTCGAAATCTCCTAGCCTTTCATAAGCATTGCCGAGGCTCCCGTAACTCCTTCCCTCTCCAGCCTTGTCTCCCACTTCTTTGGTAATTTTTAAATGACCTTCATGATACTGGATGGCTCTTTCGAAATCTCCTAGGCCTTGATAAGCATTGCCGAGACCTCCGTAACTAATTCCCTCTCCAGTCTTGTCTCCCACTTCTTTTGCGATTTTTAGATGACGTTCATGATACTGGATGGCTCTTTCGAAATCTCCTAGGCTATCGTAAGCATTGCCGAGATTGCCGTAACTATTTCCCTCTCCAACCTTGTCTGCCACTTCTTTGGCAATTTTTAGATGACGTTCATGATAATGGATGGCTCGTTTGAAATCTCCTTTGCAACGATAAGCATTGCCGAGATTCCCGTAACTTTCTCCCTCTTCAGCCTTGCCTCCCACTTCTTTGGCAATTTTTAGATGACATTCATGACACTGGATGGCTCTTTCGAAATTTCCAAGGGAACAATAAGCTTCGCCGAGTTTGCCGTAAGTCTTTCCCTCTCGAACCTTGTCTCTCACTTCTTTGGCAATTTTTAGATGACGTTTATGAAACTCGATGGCTTTTTCGAAATCTCCTAGGCTAAAATAAGCATTGCCGAGATTACCGTAACCTGCTCCCTCTCCAGCCTTGTCTCCCACTTCTTTGGCAATTTTCAGATGACGTGCATGATATTGGATGGCTCTTTCTATATCTCCTTGGCTATGATAAGCATTGCCGAGATTGCCGTAACTATTTCCCTCTCCAGCCTTGTCTCCTACTTCTTTGGCAGTTTTTAGATGACACTCATGATACTGGATGGCTGTTTCGAAATCTCGTAGGTAAAAATAAGCATTACCGAGATTTTGGTAACCATTTCCCTCTCCAGTCTTGTCTCCCAATTCTTTGGCAATTTTTAGATGACGTTCATAATACTGGATGGCCCTTTCGAAATCTCCTAGGCCTTGATAAAAAATTCCGAGTTTGCAGTAACACGCTCCTTCTAAAGCTTTGTCCCCCATTTCAATCGTATAGAGGCCGGCTGTTTGAAGTAGTTGTTTGTTGATTTGTTTCTCCTGTGATTTGAAGTTAAAAATATTTCAATCATTCACTTACCTCTTTACCCCTCGGCCAACCTATCCCCAATTTCCTTTTTTTAATGGCCAATTATATGAGCCAGACTTGTGCGCCTATATGGTGCTACCCGATTTATCAACTCAAGCTATCTGGGTGTGGACTGAGGACATTTCTCTTTGAGCTTTCTTAAGGATGAAAATTGTTTTTATCTAGTAGTCGGGCCTCGAAGTTTACGAATGATGATATTTTTTAAGTTAAACGTAAACTTAACTTTGCAGTCTAAGAAAATTGAATAATTAAATTCAATACTTGTAATTAGTCAATAAAGATTGCAGAGTGAAAAAATAATAAGAGAACAGCGCTCGGTCAACGACTTCTGAGGAATACAGCGGCCAATATATCTCAGATTATAAACATACTCCAGACATCACAAACATAAGAATTGCTTTCTTATGTCTATGGAAACATCGAACTGGTCCTCTTGCACGGAATCACACCAATCAAATGTCTCTTTCCCTGTTACTTCCTGGTTTTTAATGTCGTAAGTGTTCGCTTACCTCGCTCTTTGCGCTGTACTCGTGACGGTTAGTCTTTACCTCGTGTTTAGTTCCTGATTCATCTGTCCCATCAGTTGGCTCACTTGCACATTGATTACACAAATCAAGTAACTGCTTGTTGTTCTCAATCTTTACAATATCAAGTCAAAGAGTTCGCCTCGGTTCAGTTTTTTCGCACAATAAAGATTCAAACTTAACTAGGCTCATGCCAGCAATTATTCCAGTGTAATTAGAATAAGCCACGAGAGCTTAAAGTAATACAACCTGAACTATTTCAACTTCTACTACTTCTATCACAAGTGGTGGTGGTAGTAGCAGAAGCAGAAGCAGCAGCAGCAGCAGCAGTGGCTCTATTAGCACCACCATCGCCCTCGAAAGCTTCATTGCCAGAATTATTACCATTAGCATCTCTGCTGCCACCACTTCTACCACCTCGAGAAAAACTACCAGCACCACCACCATTGTAAACTCTCAAACTCCCCGCCCTAGCTACCGCCAGTGGCACTTGGTCGGCAAATTTTAATACTAATGCCGACTACCCGAAAAAACGCAGCGCTTGCCCTACTGCCAGTGCCATTACCACCCCGACTGCCACAACAAGTGAGCGGAGTCATACGCATGATTGCCAGGTAAGCCTCTCATAAGCTATTCATCACCTGAGCCATTCTCGGCCATAACCTTTGGTGAAAAATATTTCTCTAACCTCTTTTTCCGCATTTGGGCAAAAATTTATCCATCCTTCTGATCATAAGTGGTCAGCCTATAAAACCTAGGTTTTCTCTTAAATCTATTGCCTAAGTTAAATGTAGAAGGGAAAAGTAGTTTCAGTACACGGAGGGTTTTTAAAGTCACCAATCAGGTAAAGACATTATCCAGCAGGGCTCAGCTCCTGTCAAAAGAAATTACAGAGCTCTTTTTCAGGCTTAAGGTAGCCCATGATAAGAATTCGGGTGGATCAGCACCTATTGAGTATTGTGATAAGAGCGCTGCAGTTATGATATAGTTTAGGACATAATTACTGTAGAAGGTTTAAACCCAAGACTGTTTAGGATGAGATTTGTTGTTGGACATGTTGACCGTCTAAATTACAACCAGAGTCTTTATATCAACCACATTCAACGCCATACACGAACAGTCTATTTTACCCTTTTTGACTCAGGTAAATTAGGGACAAAAATCTCTATATGTGATATGACCTTTTACTTATTCGTCAAAGGATACTTTCTGACACCAGTCAATGGCTTCTTGATACGGGTGAAGCTGGACACATGCACTGGCCCCTTAATGAGAGGAAATTTGAATATTTATAATTATAATTTATAATTACAATCCTTTCTGACACCAGTCAGTGGCTTCTTGATACTGGTGAAGCTGGACACATGCACTGTTCCCTCAGAAAGAGGAAATTTAAATATTTATAATTATAATTATAATAAATAGTTAATAGTATTCGTATTACATATACTAATAATACCTTAAAGTTTACTTTTATAGTCAACTTTAATTTTCTCTAGAAAGTGGTCAAAATTAAAATCAAGACTCGTGACCGAGTAGGCAATACTCGCTGGAGAAGAAATGTAAAAAAATCGAACGAGTATTTCGATGAAACTATCAGTACTTACAACTTGAACCTTAAAATACAACTTGACTACAGGGCTTTCTTGATTAATAAAATACGGGCAAAACTTTCAGCATGCTCATTGGCCAACAACATGTCAATCAATCCCAAACAGTACAGGAAGTTGACATTAAGTGAAAACTAGGCAGTCTGAGACTGCATGTGGTTACTTATGAAGCACATTTTTAGAGCATTGAACAGGAAATAGAGGTTGTGCAATAATTGTTATGATAAAAGGTAGTGTTGTTCACATGCAAAACAGAAAACCTGTTGCAACCCACATAATGATACTACCCCTTTTCAAAAGAGAGTGACAACTCAAGATTGTAGTGAGTAATTGACATTCAAGCAATAACTAAATGGTAACAAATGATCATATAAACAAGAATAACAATGATAACAATGGTAATAATAATTAAAAGAGGCTTTCTCAAAAACCTCACGATTTCTCTGTCCTCTGGGCTCCAATAATAATTAAACCACAATTCTTTTGATTTTGCCTGTTACTTATTTCATCGCAATTCCATTTTCCATTTTTACGAGACTTTAGCTAGACTTTGTTTTATACAACAGGGCATTCACGCTTTAGGATACTCCGTCATTGCGCTTTTATAGGATATTCCGTCATTCTGTGTTTTAGGATATTGAGACGTTCAGAAATTCCACCGATCCATCATTCCATCGAATAGGATCACCCTGTGAACTCAAGGTATCGTATTTTGTAACTAAAATTACACGTCGGCGAGGCAATTTTTCCTTTCGTAAACGGCCCTTTCCATTTAAAACAGTCGTTGCCATTTGTCGAAACAGTCGTCGCCATTTCCAATAACAGTCGTTGCCATTCATCACAGTTGGCGCCATTTGAACGCGTGGATCGTGCTCGATACGACGATTTCGCGCGGGATTGTTGCTCCCAGGCACCACGCATCCATTCCCACCATTTCCAACCAAGATGGCGGATGAACACGAAAATATCAATCAGGGCAATCTCCACGACGAGCACAGTCCAGATGTCGATCCAGATGAAATTGAAAGAGAGCATGACAGGAAAGAGAAACAAAAGTCGATAAGAAAGCCTACGGGCTGAAATTCTTTCTTTAAGTCGGTTGCGGTTAGTATTACTTTGCATAACGATAGAACACTGTCTCTTGTTTCCGTCCCGTGCCTACACTGCATGCACGATTTCTCCTGGACAATTACAATTATTTCCAGGAAAATTTCATTACAGTACCTGTATTACATGACCTTGCAACGATGTGTGGGAGCTTTGAACAGCAAGAAAAGCATCAGAGATTACAGTATGAAGCAAAAATGGCAGATATTAGATCTGAGCCCACGTAAAAGCGGATTTGTTTCAAGGTGCATGGAATCGAGGCACTTGGACCAAAGGCTTTGTAAATTCTCAAAGGTATTACTGTATATTTCAAAACAAATCGCATTTTCCGCAATGCTTTTACTTTTATCGACAATCTGAAGTATTCAAAAGGCAAAGATAGCAATGGTTACACATTGTATTGCATTCAGATGCAACAACCGGAGCGATAAACCACATTACAAGCATGTCTCCTGGCATTCGCTGCAACTGAACAACAAGAAACTTCTGGCGACTTGGCTAGTCAAGATCAAACGGGAAAATACGCCCGTAAGTAAAAATTCATTTTAATACAGTGAACATTTTCAAAAGTAAAGCTTTTCCAAGTCATATGCTGGTCGGAAAGTAAGTCTTAAGTCAGACTCAGTTCCGACAATATTCAGTTTCTCCGAACAGAAAACCAAAAGGAAGGCTCCGAAGGAAAGACGTTCGATTGATGATGACTTTCCGGCCGGCTGGAAGCAGATCGAGTCCAAAATTTGGCTTTCCAAACCAATATAACGTATTCATAATAAATTGGTTTCCCGCCAAAACTTAAAACTGCATTTTATTTAGTAACCACGATGTTGTTTAATTTTTAAATTTTGAAACAGCCACTGTAATTTTATAGTGTGTTCATGAGGAGGATTTACTTTATTCCGATAAATTCTAGCTCCTTTGGGTGAAATTGTGTATTTTGTGTTATGCAGAGCTGTCATGGGCTTCGACGAGGGGAGGGGACGAGGGGACACTGAGCATGCCTGGGAGAATATGGGGAAAATGCGAGGAATTCACAATGAAAATAAAACGACAGTGAGGAGTGGGGGTTGTGCTCAAATGGTAACCTAACCTACAGGCAAATGGTTAGCCAAAATTAGAACTAAAATTATAAGCATAGTTTTTTGTAAATGTATTGAGGTAGACGGCACTCCATGATCAAAGCCGAACTTTGTCACTCTCCAGTTCCCTAACCCCAGAGTAGGAAAAAGTGACTAATCAGGGCTGTAGCCAGCGTCAGGCAGAGGGGGCAAATGCCCTCCTTAAATCAGCTAAATTTTGATTGAAATAGAAGTATTTTTTAATATTTCTGAACTACAATTTAAAAACAAAACATTGTGTTACAAAATCTTTATTGCCCCAGTTTATGATTTGCTTGAGGAGCCAGAAGTCATTATTGTTCCGCACAGTATTTTGTACACAGTTTCCTTTGCTGCCCTGAGTGAAAAGGAGGGAGCCGAAAACCTATCTGAGACTCGTATGATCCGTGTTACCTGAAATGGGCAATTGGTATTCTTTACTCTTACGGCAAGGTTTTTCTGCAGCTTACTCTGTGGGTCTTTAGGAACTCCAACGACGAGTATTATGCTGACACCGGAAGTATTTCTGCATTACATAGCAACTGGTTGGTTTTTTCTTTGTTTTTATCTTCACTTTTAATCCATTTATTGCCTCAAATTCAGCCATCCAGCTCTCCACATCATTTTCTGCCCTGCCTTTCGTTGGCAATCGATCTTTAAACTTTGACTCGCTTCCTTGGAGATCACCGTCACGTCACTTCTTCAGGAAGTTTCCCAATAACAAGAAATTTGAAGCTCTCTTTATTAGCCTCTCGTTTTCGAAACACTTAGTAACTTCCTCTATGGCTGCTTTAATTGGATCGTTTGCGGACAAATTGTCGTGAAGATTGCTCTGATTGATATTTTCGTGTTCATCTGCCATCTTGGTTGGAAATGGCGGGAAATGGTGCGTGGGGTCTGGGAGCGACACTCCCGCTTTCACTCCCGCGCGAAATCGTCGTCTCAAGCACGATCCACGCATTCAAATGGCATCGACTCTAGTGAATGGCAACGACTGTTCAAAATGGCAACGATTGTTTCGACAAACGGCAACGACCGTTTACGAAAGGGAAAATTGCGTCAGCGAGATCGAAATTATTTTGAGGTGTTAATCGTCTTTATATTTTCACGGAAAAAACTAAAAACAATGCGCATGTGGCTATACGTCAGAAATCCCAAATGGAAAAAACTCAACCGTGTAGCGAGTGTGAATGTGGAACTACTAAACTACTCCGAAAAGACGAAAAATTGCAAATAGCAACGAGAAATATAGGGTAAAAATTGGGTCACGTTTGGGAATTCTATTGTGACTCACCATCACTCGCTCTTTTATCCCCTAAAAATTTGGCTTAGCCTCTTTTCATATACATGTAGGAGACAGCAGCCTCAGAAATATTTGAAGTTGAGGGTAGAAAGTTGTAACTAGTAGTCATATCTCGTTTCTCGTGCAATTTGGGATAAACCGTAAATTTTTAAAAACTACAAATTTCACTCACCCTACGGGCTTATGTAATTTGGTCAGCCTTAGAAAAGTTTACTCACCCAGATTTATCCCAAATTTCACTCGTAATCATGTGATTACCTATAGGAATTCGTAGTACAACCTCTCAGTCATAAGTAATAGTAAAAACGAAAAAACTTCTCCATACCTTAGAAAATGCAAAGAACTTACCATTTTCTATGGCTTTAACAAAAGTTGGTTCCAACTGAACAGAAGCTGTAGCATCATCCAAAGCTTCTTGATAATTTCCTGACGGAATATTTCCGAATGAGTACATGAAGTGTAATACTCTATCCTTTGGAACGGGCATAAACATTTTCACATTGCTCATTGGCGATAAATTCTATTACCTGACTTTATCTTACAGGAGGATCTGAGTTCCGGACAGTTTGTCTACGTATATCATATTGGCCGTTTGTTTTGATCCAATAGTTAAAAGTTCACTTCCTACCATTGGTTACAAAGGCTATATAACACACTATGTGTTAGTCTAGCGGTATGCTAATTGATTGGGGTAGTACGGCCAGTACGCATGAAGCTGGTGACAGGGCCATGCAATGGACTTGTCTTAGTCAGCACTTTACTAAACTTTCCTCTCAATCACATCCATCGGACCTGTCTGACTTATAGTCCCCTTAAGAAAACTCCCTAAATTGGTTAAGCTTCCCATATTACCTTCATTGATTTTACGTAGCTCGACTAGCAAAGCAACAAACGCGTTTCTTCCGCACAGAACTCGAGCTGTAAACTATTGCATTGAATCCTTATGAAAATGAATACAGAACTGGTATATTAGGAAAGAGTGATGAATTCTTACCCAAAGACAATTGAGCTGCTGCCCTGTTGCTATAGAGCGTGGCGTTGACTTGGATGTCTTTACAATTTACTTGCAGTCCCTCCGTATAGAAGTGTACTGCGTTTTCAGCCTCTCCTTTCTTGTACTCGTTGTCACCATCCTTCAAGTAAACCTCTGCCATCGCTAACAGAAAAGCAGCAAACATCTACAATACACATCATAATTCAAGAGGGATACAAAAGCTATTATCTCGAGATATACAGCTTTGTTATGTATTTTGGAGAGCTGCAGTTTGACCTAACTGTCTAAAGTTAAAGTTGTGTTTTTGACAAACAAAATACTCTGTGTCTTTCCTGTTAAATGATTCTTAGTCGATCCAAGTCCCTTGCCATGTTCCTCTGGCAATGAGGGTGTGGAATTCTAATTAATTCGGTGATTAGGGGGCCATACTGAATATGTTGTATCTATTCTGGTTGTTATTGTTCCCTTTGAAAGTAGCATCATCAAATTGTGATGTAGTGTCCGACTGTAACTCAACCAGAACGTCTACTGCGTCTGAGAAATATTCAGTCAAGTATCTTTGATACATATCTATAGGCTCCGTAGTGCCACGTTTTAGAACAAGGTTAAGGTCAACTTTGTTTCAACCAACAGTTTCAAAACCAAATTTGCTTTTTTCATTCGATGGCTCACCAGCCACATTGAGGACGTAATGTATCAATTAGGATGGAACGTTTTTCAAGCATTGAATAACATTGGCAAGATGATTTAAGACAACGTGGATCGAGGCGTTCAGTGGAAAAATGGTCAAACTCTATCTTTGATATATCTTTTTTCATCGAATCTAAAAGTAGAATGTAGTCTGCGGAGAGGTAAGATTTTTGAAGGTACGCTGATTGATACAGGTTTCCAACCCGGTACGGCGGTACCGACTTGCTATTTTATTAAACAGATATCCCATAGTCAAATTGATGTTATCAGCAAAATATACTGGACTCTAATCGAGGCGGGAGTGAAAGGAGGAACAAGAGACCAAGGGAGGGAATATGGGAAAGGAGATGCAGACGGTGGCTATCACTTGATGAGATGCACTGAGGAAAAGAGCTGAAAAATGTTTGCATTGGTGGTCCCTTGTTCATGACTATATGCGCCCAAGGGGAAGAAGATAAGCAGTATTCGTTCTGAGCCGAAAGGGATTGAGTCCAATCCTCCGCACACTCCAAAAAATAAAGCTCCTTAGAAGTTGTCAGCAGTTCGTTCCTACTTCTAAAGTATTCTCTGAGTACTACAAATTTGGCGTGGAAATGAATTTACTTCCAATTTAAGAACTCGACTCTGTAACATAGCAATTCATCATACAAATGAGCCCATTTTCCGTACCTGCCTGAATATCATCTGCTAAATTTAATTTCAAGTCACCAGATCTTACCTAAAGTTTCTCTGTGGCTAGTAACAAAGCATTGCGTTCCTTTTCAAACCTTTGCACTTTAAAAGCAAGACAGTTAATGAGTATTTCCGAAGGGATTCTACTTTCATTTAACATCATGCTTGAGGGTGTGGATTTCTAATTAATTCGGTGACTCGGTGGCCAAACTAAACATGTTGTATCTATTGTAGTTGTTATCCTTACCTTTTAAAGTAGCATCATCAAATTGTGATGTCCTGTCTGACGGTAACTCAGCCTGAATGTCTATTGCGTCTGAGAAAAAATTCAGTCAAACTACGAGATTATCATAATATGTCTTAGCTGTAATATCTTAGGTCTACTACAGCAAGCGGCTGACTACATCCACGGTTGGTCTCAGCAAAATCATCTACAGTCAAATCCAACTAAATGCAAGGAGATCCGCACATACTTCAAGCGCACTCCCCCTTGCTTCTCTCAGATGTCATTAGAAGGGGTCGAGTTCGAAATGGTATCTTCGACTAAAGCTCTTGGCGTTATCATAAGCAGTGACCTCAAATGGTCTGCAAAAATCGACTCAATCACGGCTAAGGCTGCTAAGAGACTTTACCTCTTAAGACAACTTAAGCGCGCGGGTATTGCTGACAACGATCTTGTTAGAATTTACGGTAGCGTTATAAGATCAGTCCTACAATATGCATGTCAGGTCTTTCGCTCTTTCCATTGAGCTAACCACCTCCCGGCTAGCTCAATGGATAGAGCGCCGGACTGTTGAGCGGGAGGTCGAGGGTTCGAGCCCCGGCCGGACCAATACTCAAGGTCTTAAAATTACTGAGGAGAATGTGCTACCTTTCTATAATATCAGGAAATGGATAGACATGCTAGTCTTCTCGGATAAGGACGAATAAACCGTAGGCCCCGTCTCCTGCAGGGTTAGGGGTAGGAGACGTTAATTTTCCGCGCACGAGAAATACTGTGTGATGAATGTCCTCCCCTGGGGTGGGGTGGGTGGGTTACAAGTCTAATGCGCATTTGATCATTTCATGTTAAAAGGCGCACTATTAATTGATGAATTATTGAATTATTATTATTATCATTGCAATCTACCATTGCACCTCTCGGATGAAATTGAACACATTCAGCGTCGTGCGTTACGCATAATCTTTCCTGGTTGTAATTATAAGACTATTATAATGAAGGCTGGCCTACCAACCCTATACGATAAGAGGCGCACATTGTGCAAATATCTATTCAATAAAATTGCCCATGGCAGCCATAAACTCAGCCATCTACTCCCTACACGTTCCCAGCAGATGTAGATCTGGTGGCACCTTTACTGCACCCGTGTGCAAGACTAACAGATTTAGAGACAGTTTTTTTATTAGCCACTATGTATTTGTCTTATTGCATTGTACATATTCACGTAATTCAGTTATTTGACTGCAAAGTGTTTTCAATAATAAACGATACTATATGGCGATACTATATCTATAGGCTCCGTGGTGCAACATTTTAAAAGTTACCAAACATTTTATATCTGCACAAACATGTTATATCTGTTATATCCAAACATGTTACATCTGCACCTCTAGAAGTGATATTTAATGCCTCCTTTTCCACTGGAATTGTCCCAGATCTATTTAAAATAGCTGAAGTTATCCCTGTTTTCAAAAAGGGTGAGCAAACAAGTCTAAATGATTATCGTCCAATTTCTTTTCACGCAATATTCAATAAACTGTTAGAAAAGCTGATGCACAAGAGAATATTAGAATATTAGAAATATTAGAATAAACTAATTTATTGCAAGCAGTTTGGCTTCCGTGCAAACCACACCACTGATCATGCTATTATAAGTATCATTGAATTGATTCAACATGCAATTGACTGCCAGGAATTTTCTTGTGCTATATTCTTGGATTTCAGTAAAGCTTTTGATACTGTAAATCATAAAATCTTTATTGAAAAACTAGATTACTAAGGCATTCGTGGAGTAACCAAAGACTGTTTCGCCTCTTATCTTGCCAACAGATATCAATATGTTTCCTTGGTGCAAACTAAGTCTGAACTGCAATCCGTCTCTTGTGGTGTCCCTCAAGGCTCAGTTTTGCATTCCTTATTATTTCTTATCTATATCAATGATTTTAGTAACTGCTCTGAAATTCTAGATTTTCATCTTTTTGCAGATGATGCCAATCTATTTTATAAACATAAAAATCTTAAGATCCTTGAATCCAAAGGAAATAATGAACTAGTAAATATTCATACCTGGTTAAGTGTTAACAAACTTTCACTTAATATTGAAGAGTCAAATTTTATCATCTTTTACCCTCCACAAAGAAAGTTACCCTTTCATGTCACCCTCTCTTTAAATGGCATAAACTTAAACCAAGAGTCTTCAATAAAATATCTAGGTATTGTAATTGATTCTCATTTATCACGGAAAAGTCAAGTAAGCTATATTGCTTTAAAGATCAAGCAAAATATTGGGATTCTCTCTAAACTTCGTTATTATGTGAATTTAGACATTTTGATTAAACTATATTATGCCTTCACATATCCCTTTTTAATCTGTGGTTTAATCTCGTGGGGAAACACTTATTCTTCGACTACCCAGCCTTTGTTTCTCTCACAAAAGAGAGCAATGAGAGTAATGAGAGTGATAACTTTCTCTAATTTCCATGAGCATTCTAGTCGAATATTTAAGCACTTCAATATCGTTAAAATGCCTGACCTTGTCATCCTTAATATTGCAGCCTTTATGTATAAATTTACAATAGACGTCTACCATCTGTGTTTGATACTTTTTTCACCCAAGTAAATAAACAATACTTGAAATGGCTCGAATTTTTCCTATTCTTTACCTAAAGTAAGAACAAATAATGGAATATTTAATTTAAGGTTTAAGGGCCCCAAAGTATGGAACTCAATAAGTGAAAATTTGAAAACCTTATCAATCCCAAACTTCAAGGAGTCAGTAAAATGCGATCTAGTCAAAGAATATTAGCTACTTAATATTGTTTTCCAGTTTGCCGTAATCTAGTTTTCTGTTAATTTCTGTAACCTTTTTAGGTACTTCTTTATTTAATTTGTAGTTTATAATTATATAGCTGTTACTAGGTGCCGTAGACATTGTGCTCTTCTTATATTAATGCTTAGAATCCATAAATAATTCTAACTATTCTAGACTTCCTTAATATCTTATAAATTCCGTTTCCTTTTTCTTTTTTGTTATGTGTGTGTGTGTGTGCATTTGTGCTTCAATCTTCTTGCTGACCTGTATTTTAATTTTCTTTAATGCTGATGTTAACTAGCTGTCTGGCTCCGCAAGCCTCTATGGTTATTCCAGGCTGCTAGTACTCCAATTTTATTTCTAATAATTTCTTTCAATTGTGTAACTTTTTTGCTTAGAGCAAGTCTGAATGCGAGTACAAATAAAGACTATCCAATATCTGAGTAAACATTTTATTCAATATCTGAAAACAAGGTTAACTGAAGGTGAACTTTGTTTCAACCCACAGTTTCAAAACCGATTTTGCTATTTTCATTCGCGTGCACCAGCCACACTTAGAACTTATTAGAGACCTTAAGATTTGAGGACGTCATCCGTCTAGGACGCCTTCGGAAGTTCGTTTTCACCTAAAAATGACACTGCGCATGTCTTTGTGTGAATGGGACGGCGTTTGACATTTGGCGAGTACGCCATTTTTTTAAATTTCGCGTCGTGCACAAAACGTGAGTATGTGTTTGGTTTTGGAGCTGAAATTATTCAATTCTTTCCCCGTTTTCGTTGTTATTTGGTATAATCTGTTATTAACAGTGCTTGTTTTTTTCAGAGATAGACGATGGATTCCAGTTCCGAGTAAGTAGACTCCACATGTTTTCCATATAAAGAGAATGGAAAAATTTATCATATTGAGCATCAATTTATCATGTCATGTGAGAGGTCGGCCGATGTAAGTAGAGTGTCGTTATAATCAGAAGTCAAACTCGCAGTTTCTACAGCGAGCCTAATCAAAAGTTTTCGAGCGCTGCAATCTTTCTTTTGAAGTCTCGATACATTTTCCTCCTGTTTGCCATGTTTACCGATTTATTCATGAATTGGTAATTTACATTGTTACTCTTATGCCGTTTCCGCGACTTGAGAATAGATATATCGAAGATGCTTGTTTTCTCGGCTTACCTTTAAAGTGATTTGAGCCTCACGTGATTAAGACTCTCATATTTATTATCCATGCAAGTTTCATCCCACTACAAAGAATACTCATTTCGAAAGACTCCATTCCATTAATTTTTTTATACTTTATCAGAGACCAGCTAAGTTCAGGATTTTAATTATATTTCGTCAGGTAAGCCAAGAACATCAACCAAGAGAGGGATGTCGTATTTTTTTAAGGGAAAATCTGTCTTACACTCAGTCTCACTTTTATCTTGCAATGTAAATCTTTCATAATTCCAATAAAGATACTGTTGATTTTTCGACTTGTTAACATCATGCAACAACAGAAATTCATCCTCATTGTTGATTTCCTCGCAAAACCTTAAAAGAAGTTCGTCCCGCGCTTTCCTGAAGGACGCTATTCTCGACCTGGTGCTGGAAAAAGTTCGCGTCTTGTTTACCTTTTCTTAARTCTAACTTTCCGCACAAAGAACGGCGTTCTCGCCCCAGTCCTTTATATGCCGTTAAGTCCTAGTAGAAGACGCCGTCCTCAAATCTTCCCCTATTGTAAGGTCCCTATTGTATCAAATAGGATGAAACATTTTTCCAACATTGACAAACATTGGCAAGATGATTTAAAACAACGTGAATCAAAGTTTTTAGTGAAAAAGTGGTCAAACTATCTCAAGTATTTGGCATATCTTTTTCATCGACACTAAAAGTAGAATGTAGTCTGTGGAGAAATAGGATTTTTTCAGGCACGCTGATTGATAAAGATTTCCAGCCTTGTGTCACGGGTACCGACTTGCTATTTTATTAAACAGACATAAACCTGACATTCCTCTACGGCTAGCAACAAAGCATTATGTTTATGTTTAAACCTTTGCACTTCAAAAAAAGGCATTTAATGAGTATTTTCAAAGTGATCATCGTGCTTGAGGATGTGGAATTCTTATAACTCCGTGTCTCGGTGACCAAACTAAATATGTTGTATCTATTATGGTCTTGCCTTTTAAAGTAGCATAACTAAATTGTGATGTATTTTCTGACGGTAATTCAAGTTGAACCTCTATCGCGTCTAAACAATATTCAGTCAGACATCAAGGTTATGATACATCTTTCTTTTGGCCTTCAGAAAAGGATATTTCAAGCTGCTTAGACGTTTAACGAGTATTTCTCAAGTGAGTCTACTTTTATTTTTCATCGTGCTTGAACAGAAGTATCCAACACTGTTCTTCTTAATCAAGCTGTAATCTGACCAATCTGGAAATTATAATTAAATGAAACTATCCAAAATAGAAAATGAATCGTAATCTGTTTTCCCTCTTACCGTCTGTATATTTCCCATCATCAGCGTTCACCTGACCACCTTCCGCCATTACTGCAAAAGAACTAAATTTTAACTTTGTATTATCAACTATTGGTTCCTTCCTCCTTTGGATCTCCTATGCTTATACCAAGAGGAACCTAGGGCTATCCTCAAAAATTCAAATTTTAACATTTGCACCTAATTAGTTTCAGATAGTATACCTTAATGGGCAAAAATAAGAAGATTTCATATATTCTCAATAAAGTAACTGTTTTTATGGTTCCCCTGAATAACGGCTACGTTGCCCGAGCATGTGCACCAGTAATTTTAATTATGGGAAACGTTTCACAAACACTTTCAATAGTATCAAGAGTTCGTCAAATTAACTTTTGATTTAAGGTCTAACTTGGTCACAACAGAAAACCTTTCAACCGGAAAAGGGAGAAGATCCCAGGATTCACTTTCTGACAAAGCCTTAACACCTCCTCTACAACCAGATCCTCGCCTTGTATTGAACCATGTGTCACTAAAAAGCGTTCTTATAGCAACCTCGTTCCCAGGGCCTTTTTCCCTTAGTTGGGCCCCACCCCCAGCTAAGGGAAAAGGCCCTGGGAACGAGGTTTTCTTATAGCAGCCTAATAGAGAGGAATATGACATGTCCATGGTGTAACTACGGTGCGCTTTCTCAAACGCTATGGAAGTTTAATATCTCAAGCATAACAGGGAAACGGGATAAATGTTATGTAAATATTCCGCTGAACTGCTTAACACAATTTTACTTCAAATGTAAACATTGTGAAAAGAGGTTAAAGTTTTTCTACATGGGTCATTTCAATCACATTTGGTTTACAAGTAGGCGTTGCTTCATAATTGACAGTAACTGACTGATACTGCCATTTGGAGTTAATTCTATCTCCCCTATTGAAAACTGATCAAGAAGAAAAATTGTACAAAAAATTTACAGATTGTAAGAGTTTCGTAGTTTGATAACGAAAGTTGAATGTCAGAAAGTGTTCGGTTCCCCTTATTCCAAAAATCGATAACAGCCAGTGAAATTCGTAACATCAAGTGTATGCTGTGCTCTCAAGAAACAAGCTTAATGCAAGGAATTGTTTACTGACTTATTAAGCCTCATCTAAACTTTTTAGTCATCAAAACTGCGTTATGAATACAAAGGCCTATTTTGTGTTGGTCTACTTTGACTGTTTAATTTAGCGACTGATGCGTAAGATAACCATTGACAAAGCTGCCAACCACTCAGTGACCTAGCTAGTAGCCTTTAAAAGTCCAAGGTACAAGTACATCTTTGCTTTGCTCAACACGGCACTTCAAAAGGAAAACATTTGCATTCACTGAACACAAATATCTTATAGAATTAACCCTACAACAATAGCTTTCCCAGCTTTACATGTAATTTGGTCTTGAGTTTCTTTGTCAGGTAGTGTGGTTTTTCGCAATTCCTAAGGATTGAAACGAGGTCAGCCATTTTGTTTTTATTAGTTCAACCTCGGACCGATTTTTCTAGTCTTTAGAGGCAACCTTTCTACAGTTGAAAATCGTCAAATCCTCACTTCTTTGTCACCTACAAAGCCTGCACGAATTACAAATATGTTTAGGAATCACTAAAAGGAAACAAGAGTAGAGAACAGACACAGTGGACATCATAAGTTACATGATACCATTCGCTCTCTTTTCGTGTAGGCGTAGGTAGGAGATGAGCTTATAACTTCGCCTTGAGTTAGCTATCCCATCCTTCTTGAAATATTTTAAAAACTATGAGCTGAAAGATGATATGTCCACGGTAAACTGTCGAATGTGAGCGAAAAATCAAATCCAACCATTTATGTGAAGATTAGTGGACTAAACATGCATGTGGTTTGCAGCGTTACGACTGATGACATGGGATATAATTACATTTAGATATATAAGAACTTTACGTTACTATATAAGGTGACGATCTATCGTCTATAGAGCCGCAAACAAGTTACCTCAGTTCTCCTTCCAGTAGATTCATCGACCAGATTTATGCCCGTTTGAATTTAAGGTGGCGATGTGAATCTGATAAACCTAACGCAGCCAATTTCGCATCTCCGCCGTCAGCAGACTTTGACAGTCTCTTCGCCGACAGAAATAATATTGCCCTGATATCGTAAGCTGACAAAATTTACCTACTTTTGAATTCCATCACTGTAGATTTTTTTAAACACGAAAATATATATAAATTCTCAGACCTCTGTAATTGCACCACGGTTTGTGTCGCTGAGTTATCGAGAGGTTGAAGTTATATCACATCTACTACAACCAAACTCTTACCTCGGCGTTTCCGAGTTGTTTTTTCCTCCCTTAAATAACCCGTAATGTATTGCAAGACTTTTGAAATATCCTACTGCAGCTATCAAAGTATACGTGTCTGGAAAGAAGAGCGTTTAAACATTTGAAAAGTAAAAATGGAAGTTTCCCAACAGTTTTGTTAAGGGGTTTTGTTAGGGGGGTTTGTTATAAACTGAAAGCGGAAATCTTCATGTCATGAAACGCTTGAAGTTGTTCAAGCTGGATAACAGACCTTTTTAGCTTCATCTATCCTAGATAGGTCACGTGGTTTGAAATGGGTAAACAAAATTCGCGGCTATAGCGATTAACTACGAAGCGTAGAGAATGGTTTACTCAAGTTTCGTCACATCTGTAACTACCACAATATTTTCACTAATTTAAATTTTTCTTTTCATTAATACCCTGTGGATTCTAAGCTTTATAAGTAAAGTATCCATGCAATATTTATGCAACTTGTAGTCGCACGAACTTCTGTTTATCTGGGTGTAAATAGTAAGAAACCCGGAAAAATAATTTTTTCTCACCTCGATTCCAGTTTATTCTACTGTTAGATAAAGTAGGTGAAGGTGCAATAAAAACAAGGTTTGATGTGTTAGCACTGATGACAAGAGATGCAACTAAATTTGTCATTCATCTGCAGTTTTCCTCGCTCTAAAGTTGATTGCGCTCTAGGTGACCCTGCATAAATTACAATGTCTCCAGGTTGAGATCCAGTTGTTGAATGCTATCAACCTACCCGACTCTTCACCGAGTTACATTCTGTGTAAACGTACACTGCAGAACAAAACTAAGGGCGGCCTCAACATTGCAAGTTGACTAAACTCTATTATTGTTAAATTTATTTTTTCTCAGAAAAGTTTTGCCAAACGACATAATGTTATAAATTTGCGGACATTGGTAACTAAAACTACGTATATTTTGCTGAGTTAAAGGAAGGGAGAAACTAATCATATCCACTAGTATCCTACCACAGCCAAAATCTCACCTCGGCGTTCCCGAGTTCATTTTTAGTTTCGTTCATTAGTTCTACAAGCAGGATTTCGGAAATATCTAGCTGCAACTATCGAAGTGGAATTGCCGAGACTAGCCTACAGAGCTGGCGTTCTTGTGGAGTTTTGGCGAAAATTAGGACTTTGGGATTTCTGTTTTATTTTCCAGACCGCGCGTAAAATGGAGCGAGGCGAAAAATTAGGAGGCGGGGGGAGAGGAAGAAGAGAGAAGGGAACGCCTGCCAGCAGCACTTGAAAATTTGAAAAACGCCCCCTAATTAGATATGCAGGAGCAACGATAATGCGCAAACAATTGGCCAATCAGGTGGCGCGACGGAAGTGGATTTTCACTTCAGTTGCTTGTCAAAATTTGTTGTTATTCGAAGGGAAATCACAAGTGTCAAAATTTGTGTTCACATGTCGCCGAACGAGAATTGTCAATTTTGCGGCTGTAGTTTTAAAGTTAAATACGGCTCATACCTGTCATCAGAAAATTTATTTAGAGCATCGAAGAGAAGTGATGCTTATGGAGTAATCTTATCAGACGTGTGTGGTGAAATTGGCATCGAGCTCATTCAAAACAACGAACAGTTATCCGATCGCTGTTGCAATCTGTGTGCTAGGAAAGTCAGAAACTTGGGACAGCTACATGCATTCATCCTTAAGAACGCAAATGGCCAATGCAAAAATCCAGAAAAGCCCAAAAGTGCAAATAAGCGGCAATTAGATACGCCAAACAAATCTAGCCCGCAAGGAGGAAGAATAAAGCCGCTCGTATGTGCAACCATGTAACAGTGTTTCTTCGTGAGAAGCTGCTTGACTCGCACCCCAAATCTAAAGAATAATGCTTTTACCAAAGCCTGACGGTGAGACCGCCAACACATCTTTATTTCTGGAAAGTTGACGTATGGCATCTTGCTGTTCTTGTTTTAAAACAAAGTTTTCTAAGGCATCAAAAGTAGCTAAAGAATCGTTCAACGCAAGATCTATCTCTTCTTCGCTAAATGCCATATTGGATGTGATAGATAAACTGACGTCACATTCTGCTGTTAATAAAAAAATACTGGACCATTCGGAATCGCTCGTTCGTGAGCGAACGGGTTATTCAAATTTTCAAGTACTGCTGGCAGGCGTTCCTTTTCCTAGCCCTAACCTCTCCCCCTCCCCCCACCTTCTAATTGTTCGCCTCGCTCCATTTTACGCGCGGTCTGGAAAATAAAACAGAAAGCCCAAAGTCCTAATTTTCGTCCAAACTCCACAAGAATGCCTGCTCTGCAGGCTATGCCGAGACGCACCTCAGTTTGTGTCGGTGAATTATCAGAAACGCGAAACTATTTTAAAAATCACATCTACTACTACGAAAAGCTTACCTCGGCGCTTCCGCGTCCTTTCAGTTTCCTTTACCAGATTAACGAGTCAAACGAGAAAAGTTGATCGGATAAACCTACAACAAAACTTCTGTTGGTAAGATTAATATCCACCTGAAACTATTGAAATGAACTTGCTCAGACGCGCGGGAAAATTCACCTAGATCTCGAAGATATATGTATTTTTGCAGACATCTGTACTTGCACCTACAGATGGTTTCGCCGAGTCATCGAGAGGGAGGATTTAATCACTTCTACTACAACCTAACTCTTACTTCGGCGTTTCCGAGTTGTTTTTACTTCCCTCAACAACCTTTATTACAAGACTTTGGAAATATTCTACAGCAGCTATCGAAGTTTATAGCTCACCACTAAATTTTCTTCGTTTCTTATTGATTTAAATATATCACGTGACGCGATAGTGTTCATCGGTAGAGAGACACTATTATATATCACTAGGATATTTGCTATTATCTGCTATATCACTATTGATTGCTATATCACTATTATATATCACTATAAATATTTGCCCTCGAACCTTCGCTTCTCGGGCGAATATTTCTTTTAGGA